CCAGCGAAGCCGACTAATCTGAATTCGATTTGATAACGAATTCTCTACAGAATCATTACCAAATACTGGACGGAATATATATAACCGGCTAGGGAAACAGCATGGTGCCAACAAAAGCAGAATGAAGGGGTTGGGTTACAAAGCAATGAGATGGGGGTCAAGCGGTTATTGTGGGCAACAATTACATTTTTTGTTTTTTCACCGCCCACCTTTTTATTTTAGTGTTAGCTTATTGTTTTTCTTTATGGGGCGAGGGATTTCAACATGCAGACTGCATAGCATTCGCACCGCTGGTTTCTATTCTGGGCCACATCTCTTAACACCTCTAACCAACGAAAATACTTCTCCCTTATGCCCCAACCTGCACCAGCCGAAGCCAAACCTGAAACTAGCCTCTACATACCTCTACGCCATGTCTTGATCTGACCGCCACGGCACTTCTCTCAGCCCTGACCAGCACGTGCAAAGAGAGCGCGGAAAGGGGCAGGCATTCGCAATAAGTGTCCAAGCCGTCGGAGGCGGTGTGCAGCAAACACTTCTTTTAGAGAATAACTATTCACACTCAACACGACGACACGACGACAAACCCCGTCATTGATAACCAGATGTTCCAACCAGACACAAGCAATGCTTCGGAGACATTGGTGACCGAATACAGAAATTTCACTAGTATCCTCAACGCGGAGGCGTGAGGTCTGACAATCGTAGAGAAGAACACCATAAACTGCAGCCACGATCAACATTCCCTTAAGGGATAGTCGGATGTCGCGTCGGGGCCACAGGTCTCGCAGATTGACAAAATCTGCTCTAACATTCGCTATTCGTGAAGTGATCTCCTCCCCAATGCCATGCCAACTCTGAGATAAGGGGTCGCGCAAATGGAGATGATTCGACGGAGAATTCGTTGTCCCGTCGAATTCAAACCGGTCAGTCTCGCTGGTTAGGACACGTATGACCAGCCATCGTCTATGGTACCACGCCTTATTCGCAGTGGCTGTCGCAGGCTAAGGAAAGCCATGTGAAGACCAGTAGATGACGTGGAAACGAGGCATAAAGAAATGCACAGAGCAATTAGGTAGAGTAGGTGTCTCTCGTTTCTGGGTTGGGGTCCAAAAGACTCCAAAACTGAAGGGTTGGAGACACTGAAGGTCATGGCTGCGAACCGACAGCAATAGTTATCTTACCGTCACTTCTTATCAGAACAAAATGCTTGAAATTGTGTGTATGCACAGTTGGAATGTGTACTCTGTGTTTGCTTTCTTTAACCATCCCTAAAATTAAATCCAATCCTTATCCTCCTAACACATTCTCACTTACCTTGTATGCAATGTGAGTTGGGCAGCGATCAGTGAAGTTCGCTCACTATATCTCGCTGTACGATGATGATGATGATGACGATGATGGTGGTGGTGGTGGTGATGATGATGATGATAATGATGATGATGACGATCACGACGAGACTGCACCTTGACGTGGTGTGAGGGCTTGTGAACCTCTCTGACCCAACGAGCTACACAGGATGGCTTTTGTCAAGCTGAAGATCTAATCATGCCTGGAAGGTCGATGCTCAATCGAGCCGGTGACCACTGCCACAACCAAGGTTTGGGTGAATATGGTTCGTACGTCTCCTCTTGGTCAGTTTGGAATCAGGGTTTTCGGGCAACTCTCCTAGGTGAACTACCAGCGGTCCATCAACCCGGATGTCGGCTTTTTGTCCTCTCTTTTTGGTACGAAAATACCTCCACCACGAGAAGGTAATGAGTAGGGCTTCCTCAGCAGAGGCTATTTGACACGCTTGGTCGTATGGCAGCATTTCGCGAGGTGCAAGGTAAGGGTGACCAACCGCAACCCTAGACACCCACCCCCACCATACTGAGGCTTTCTGAAGCCGAGTAGCAATGAAATTCAGCCTCAGCGGCTCTCAAAGAAAATGTTAGCCGGGCAAGGAAATCCTTAATCCAGGGTAAAAGTAGGTCCCTGACACCATGAACCTTCAACCTCTGCGGCAGTCGTCCATTAGGGACTTTATCGAAAGTCTTACTGAGGTCTACGAAGATTACGTGGGTTTCGTCGCCAGCGGTCTTGGCGGACACCCATTGCTCCCGAAAAAGTAGCAAGCTCGATAAACATGATCGCTATGGTTAGAAACCATGTTGTCGCGAACAGAGAAGAGTGTTAGATAGTAATCTTTCTCGAAGTCGCTTGACGAGAACTCGTTCCATCACTTTAACTCCGTCAATTATTGACTGTACTCGATCCGACCGCAACGACGCGTACCCCAGGGAAATTTCCTAGTCCAGTATGTCTGGGGTAAGCCACATTTCTTTAAGGGTGATTACTATAGGGGAATGCTCATTCACGAACGCCTCTAACTCGTCTCACTTATTTAGGACACTGTGTATATTGTTGGACACTAGACATGCGCGGCTATGCTTTTCAATAGTAGATGTCGATGTGTCCTTTTGGTTTATACTGAGGGCAATTCTGACAGGGACGAGTAGGGGACTCCAACTGAAAGGTGAGCGCCTCTTCTGAACCCGAAAATCCCTTTCAGTGTGCAGTTTGTTCTCTTGATCAGCTAATTGCCTTGGTTTTCTTTATCCTCCAAAGTTGGCACAGATTGGCCATCAACAGGTTTTCAAAATTCGAATCTTAATCTGCGTGGATGTATAAGGGAGAGCCCCAACATGATATGCACATGTTGAGGATGGTCTGCGCGATCCTGAACGAATCTGTCCGGGATAGCAGTTCCGCTTCACACCATCTGGTGAAGTAATCGATTATCACCAATATGTAATGATTTCTTCTAGTCGTTTCTGGTAGGGGTTCGATGATATCGATTCCCAGTCGCTCATTCGGATAGTCCGCCGGCATTGGTGTCTCTGGGGCTTTGTTGGACGTCCTCGGTGGCTTCATCTGCAAACACAATTGGCATGAACTACAGAAATTTACGACGTCTCGAACTTGATGGGGCCACCAGAATCTTTGTCGTACGGTCGCAAGCATTTTTCTCGGCCCCACATGCTCGAGCTCTCGGTGTATTTCGGCGAGTACCTGATGTACCACTATCTGAGGGACTACAATTCTCTTAGTGTACGTCGGACCATATTGGAAATACATGACTCCATCTAGTACAGAGAGGTGTTTCCACAGGCTCCAGGAGCACACTGTTTCCCAGCTGCTTACAGCTGTTTCTTCCCCTGTCGGCCTTTGCTCCGACTCCTCCGTCTGATGAGTTGCCATGATGAAGCACATGCCGCTTGCAGTGAAATAGCCGCCACAAAGGCTGGTATGCATGGGGGTACTTGCTGTGCACTCGACAGGGTCTTCGGGACAGGGAGTCTGCGTTTCCATGACGGATCCCTGGGTGGTACTCTTGTACTCTTGCAGCCTTTCCTGTCATCGCGCCACGTGGCCAGTTGCGTTCTTGAAGTTCTGCAGCCAAATGAGTGCTTGGGTAGTCTGTTCGAATTATAAGTTCCTTCTCGAGCAGGTAATGGCGAAATTGGGAGAGGAAGGAAACTAGAACCAGCATATTCTTTCTTGTGGTGCGATAATTCTTTTCGTGTTTATTTAAACACCTACTGCTATAAGCAATTACTCGTTCTGCCCCGCCTTGTTTTTGTGACTGAATCGCTCCAATTCTCACGTCACTAGCATCGATATCCAGGATGAACGGTTCCGCAGTTTCTGACAAATCTGGACCGGCTAGGACGAACGCTACTGTAAGGGCCGTCTTCAGTACCTTAAATGCCGTCTAGCGTTCCTCGGACCATTTGAATTTTTGCCGTTTCTCAGTCAAATGGTGTAATGGATCAGCTGCTTTTGCGAAGTCACGGACAAAACGGCGATAATACGAAACTAAACCCAAAAACCTTTGAATCTCCTCAATACTGTTCGGCGTCGGCCAGCTCAATATCTGGTTTGTTTTCTGGGGGTCTGTATGCACCCTTCCGAACTAATCACGTGTCCAATAAACCGCACTTGGAGCATAACAGATGGCACCTGCTAGGTTTAAACTTCAACCCGGCGGCCTTATGGTACTGGAACACTAGCTGCAAATTCGTGAGATGTTCTTCAAAACTCTTTCCATGAACAAGGTAAACAAGACATTTTCCCGGGATCAATTCACCCGGTACCTTCTGCACTAAACGTTGAAAGGTCACGGGAGCATTCGTTAGCCCAAACGGCACTGTTTGGAAATCGTTGAGGCCGAAAGGAACGGTGAATACCGTTTTCTCCCTATCTGCTGGTTGAGTCCCCACCTGTCAATAACCAGACGCTAAATCCAACGTGGAGAAATACCGCGATCCCCCTACGACCTCAAGGGTGTCGTCTATTCTCAGAAGCGGGAAGAAATCCTTCTTGGTGATGTTGTTCAGAGCCCGATAGTCGACGCATAACGTCA